GAAACTGGCCACCCGCGGTCGCCACGCAGTGGCTTTCTTTTGTCCAGGGGGTGTGGCCGTCGCACTCGGAGGGGGCCTCGCCTGGCGCCCGAGGTTCGCGGATGTGCGCTGAGTCGGGCGCGGGCGGCGAGGGGAGGAGGGGAGGAGGCAGGGGGAGGAGGGACGAGGGAGGGAGGGAGGGAGTGGAGGAGGGAGGGGAGGAGGAAGGCGAGGAAAGGGGGGGAGGGAGGAAGCGGAGGGAGGGAGGAAGGGGAGGGAGGGGAGGAGTGAGGGGAGGAGGGAGAGGAGGGGGGAGGGGAGGAGGGAGGGGAGGAGGCAGGGGAGGAGGGAGCAGCCCCGCACCGTCCGCCGCGTGTCTCCCTTGACATTCCAGAGTGATGCGACAACAACCATCCAGGCCTACAGACCTACTCTGGGCGGCTTGAATCCGAAGGTCCTGATGATGTTTGTAAGTCGTGCGCGTCCTTTTGCAGCCGCAGCCGCCTCCCCCACTGCGCGTCCTTTTGCAGTCACTTTGGCTGCAGGGGCAAGCACCCAGCCCGCCCTGCACTGGCCGCCCCCACTCCCAGACCTCTGGCGTCGTGTTTTGCTGTGGGGGCTTCGATGCGCGGCCCCCTCCCCGTGGTCCAGCGCTGCGGCCCCGGCCCGAGAACAGCCGTCCGGTGCCGCTGGCCCTGAAGACGACGACGACGACGACGACGACGACGACGACGACGACGACGACGACGACGACGACGACGAGGATGAGGACGAGGACGAGGACGTGGACGAGGACGAGGACGAGGAGGAGGAGGAGGAGGAGGAGGACGAGGAGGAGGACAAGGAGGAGCAGGAGGAGGATGAGATAGAAGGAGTAGGAGGAGGAGGAGGAGGAGGAGGAGGAGGAGGAGGAGGAGGCAGAGGAGGCTGTGGAGCAGCAGGAGGGGAAGAGCACGATGCGGAGGAGGAGGAGGAGGAGAAGGGGAGAAGGAGGAGAGGAGGAGGAGGAGGAGGAGGGGGAGCAGGGGCAGGGGGGGACGGGGGAGGAAGAAGCAGTAGGATAACGAGGATAATGGGAGTCGGAGGAGCAGGAGAAGAGGGAGGACGCGGAAGAGGTGGAGGAGGGGGGGCAGGAAGAGGAGGAGTATGGGAAGGAAGAGGTCGAGGTAAGGTTTCGGAGGGCCGGAAGAAAGGCACACGAAGGGCGGGGATCAGGAGGAGAGGAGGAGGAAGGAGGAGGAGGAGGAGGAGAGGAGGAGGAGGAGGAGGAGGAGGAGGAGGAGGAGGATGCGAAGAAGGGGAATGATGAGAAGGGAAAGGGTGAGGAACAGGAGGAAGAGCAGGAGGAACAGGAGGAGGAGGAGGAGGAGGAGGAGGAGGAGGAGGAGGACGCAGTGGAGCAGGAGGCGGAGGGTGAGGAAGGGCATGCAGAGGAGGATGAGGAGGGGGAGTTGGGGCAGAAGGAGGTCGAAAAGGGCAATGAGAAGGTGGAGGACAATGAAGATGAGGCGGAGGAACGGGAGGAGGAGGCCGAGGAGCAGGGGGAGGAGGGGATGTTGGTCGGGGTCTCTTCGGGGCGCTTTCGGGGGCCTCTGGTGGGCAGGTTGGGGGCGTGTTGATAGCCTCCAGGAGCTTCCTGGGGGATTCTTGGTGGCGTTTTCGAGGCCTCTTGGGGCCTCCCGAAAGCTTTTCGGGGGCGAGGGCTCGAGATGTCCGTTCGGGTCCCCCGTCTGGGCACCCTCTTGGAGCCGTCTTGGGTGCCTCTTGGCCTGTCTTGAAGGCGTCTCGGGCCGTCTTGGGGCGATCTTGGGGGCCTCTGGGGCCGTCTTGGATCGTCGGGAAGCGAAAGAGGCGAGAACGACCAAATCTTTCAAACACCTGAGGGGGATAATGAATTCTACAGATCGCTCGGCGAGAAAGGGCCCTCTTGGGCGATCTTTGGGTCCTTTTGGGGCACTCTTGGACCTGGGACCGCGACGTGTCTCCCCTGGGACACCCCCCTCGGGCTCCTCCCACCCGACGGGGGAGGGATGAGAACGGGAGGGGGCTTCCCTCCGATTGAAAAGAAAATTGGGCCGCTTCGGGCACTCTTGCTCCGTCCCTGGGACCGCGGCGCATCTCCCCCATGCCCCCCCCCCCCCCCCCCCCCCCCGACGGGGGAGGGATCAAAAGGAGGAGGCTTCCCTTCGATCGAATTACCTTGAGATCCTGGTGATTCAATTTTTTCGAGCTGGGCGTTTTCGTGCAATTTCGGGCCCCGGGACCCTCACGGATCAATCCGGCTTGAAAAATGGCGCAGAAAGATAGGGTCTAGGCCTCCAGGCTTGATTTCTCACGGCGTCTCGAATTACCTAACAGCGAAGACTGATAGGTTTCTAGTAGTGTCAAAAGAGAGCATCATGACACCTCAGGGGGGTCTGGGCTGCATCCGGACAGGGATCCGCGGAAGTCGTTTTAAGCAAACAGTTACACACTTCGTGGTCTTCGAGGTCCAGAACTCCACTCTCGGGCCACATTCTAAATGCCCGGAGCCAATTGTAGGCCATTCTCTTCGAGTTCCCAGAACTCCATTCCCGGGCCACATTTTGAATGCCCGGTGCCAACTGTAGGCCACTTCGTGCTCTTCGAGTTCTTAGAACTCCATTCCCAGGCCACATTTTGAATGCCCGGAGCCAATTGTAGGCCACTTCGTGGTCTTCGAGTTCCCAGAACTCCATTCTTGGACATGATTTTGAATGCCCGGAGCCATCTGTAGGCCATTTCGTGTTCTTCGAGTTCCAAGAACTCAATTCCTGGGCCACATTTTGAATGCTGAGGCAGGCAGATGCTGAGGCTGAGGCAGGCTGAGGCTGAGGCAGAGGCTGAAGGCAGACTGAGGCTGAGGCTGAAGCAGGCTGAGGCTGAGGCTGAGGCTGAGGCTTGCTGAGGCTGAGGCTGAGGCAGTCTGATGCTGAGGCAGGCTGAGGCCGAGGCTGAGGCTGATGCAGGCTGAGGCTGAGGCAGGCTGTGGCTGAGGCCGAGGCTGAAGGCAGACTGAGGCTGAGGCTGAAGCAGGCTGAAGCAGGCTGAGGCTGAGGCTGAGGCTGAGACAGGCTAAAGCTGAGGCTGAGGCAGGCTGAGGCTGAGGCAGGCTGAGGCTGAGGCTGAGGCTGAAGCAGGCTGAGGCTGAGGCAGCCTGAGGCTGACCCGAGGCTGAAGGCAGACTGAGGCTGAGGCTGAAGCAGGCTGAGGCTGAGGCTGAGGCAGGCTGAGGCTGAGGCTGAGGCTGAGGCTGATGCAGGCTGAGGCTGAGGCAGGCTGAGGCTGAGGCCGAGGCTGAAGGCAGACTGAGGCTGAGGCTGAAGCAGGCTGAGGCTGAGGCTGAGGCAGGCTGAGGCTGAGGCTGAGGCAGGCTGAGGCTGAGGCAGGCTGAGGCTGAGGCTGAGGCTGCAGGCTGAGGCTGAGGCAGGCTGAGGCTGAGGCCGAGGCTGAAGGCAGACTGAGGCTGAGGCTGAATCAGGCTGAGGCTGAGGCTGAGGCAGGCTGATGCTGAGGCAGGCTGAGGCTGAGGCTGAGGCTGATGCAGGCTGAGGCTGAGGCAGCCTGAGGCTGAGGCTGAGGCTGAAGGCAGACTGAGGCTGAGGCTGAAGCAGGCTGAGGCTGAGGCTGAGGCTGAGGCTGAGGCAGGCTGAGGCTGAGGCTGAGGAGGCTGAGGCTGAGGCTGAGGCAGGCTGAGGCTGGCTGAAGGCAGGACTGATGCTGAGGCTGAGCAGGCTGAGGCTGAGGCTGAAGCAGGCTGAGGCTGAGGCTGAGGCAGGCTGGCTGAGGCTGAGCGAGGCAGGCTGAGGCAGGCTGAGGCTGCAGGCCAGGCTGAGAGACTGAGGCAGGCTGAAGCTGAGGCTGAGGCTGAGGCTGAGGCTGAGGCTGAGGCAGGCTGAGGCTGAGGCAGGCTGAGGCTGAGGCTGAGGCTGCAGGCAGACTGAGGCTGAGGCTGAAGCAGGCTGAGGCTGAGGCTGAGGCAGGCTGAGGCTGAGGCTGAGGCTGAGGCAGGCTGATGCTGAGGCAGGCTGAGGCTGAGGCTGAGGCTGATGCAGGCTGAGGCTGAGGCAGGCTGAGGCTGAGGCCGAGGCTGAAGGCAGACTGAGGCTGAGGCTGAAGCAGGCTGAGGCTGAGGCTGAGGCAGGCTGAGGCTGAGGCTGAGGCAGGCTGATGCTGAGGCAGGCTGAGGCTGAGGCTGAGGCTGATGCAGGCTGAGGCTGAGGCAGGCTGAGGCTGAGGCCGAGGCTGAAGGCAGACTGAGGCTGAGGCTGAAGCAGGCTGAGGCTGAGGCTGAGGGAGGCTGAGGCTGAGGCTGAGGCTGAGGCTGAGGCAGGCTGAGGCTGAGGCTGTGACTGCGACTGCCGTTGCCACTGCGACTGTCATCGCGAATGCGACTACGACTGCGAGAACAGCAGAATTCTACAACTGGATTCTCATCTGAATCTTAAGGGGAATGCTTCCAGATCTGCTCCTACACATCGCTGTTAGGTTGCTTTGCCGGGATCTTTTTTTTTTGTTTGAAACGTCGGATCTCAGGGTACGACGCTGCTCAATTTCGCTTTGGCTGGTGCGCTTTGGGCAGCGGCGACGGGCCCAGGGAAATAGGGGCCGCAGGGAACGCAGCCGGCAGGGACGACGACTCACGACTGACGAAGAGGACGACTCGAACGGACAAGCCCCTTACGCACGCCGACAGGGTCGGCGGATTTCCCCTTTTGCAGCCACTTTGGCTGCAGGGGCAAGGACCCAGCCCGCTCTGCGCTGGCCGCCCCCGCTCCCAGACCTCTGGCGTCGTGTTGTGCTGTGGAGGCTTCGATGCGCAACTCCCTCCCCGCGGTCCAGCCTTGCGGCCCCGGCCTTCTCCAGGGCCCGAGAACAGCCCTCCGGATGACAACAGGTTTCCAAGCAGTTCGTCCCCAGTACAAGAAAGCCATAAAGCTTTCTAACACGCTGACCTGTCCGGAGATCTGGGAGCAAAGACGACGACGTCGGAGGTCTGGGCATCCCGCGCCCGCGGCCGCGCCTGCGCGCGCAGATGCAGCGGGCCATGGTGACCGTGAGGTGGGGGGGGGCCGCCAGTGATACACCTGCGACGATCCCGGCCCAGTCCGGCCCTGGACCCTATAGGTCGCTGGTGCACAACAGGTTCGCACCCAGTCGGCGCGCAGAGGCGTAATTAGCCCAGATCTGGCTGATTTCGAGCAGTCTGCGTGTCGGAAAGCCGCGATCGCTCAAGGTTGAGCGATCCATGTGATGTCAGAAACCAAACGCCGACGTCATCGCGACGTGATCCCGCCGTGTACGCCTCCCCGGCCAAGCCAGGAGTGCGTATGCGTCGATCTTCGGCCCAGGACCTGGCCAGGATCACCGTCTGCGCATTGCGCACTTCTTTCTCATCCGTAAGGAACACGTTTCTTGCCGTCGAGAGCGCTGAGGAGGACGACCTGAAACTCCCTGGCGGCAGCCCCTTCTCGCGATCGAAGTCAGTGGGCGACGAGCCGGGGGACATGCAGGACACTGGCGGTCCGAATTGATTGGCGGCGACGCTGGTGGCGGCGACGACGTCGACGAAGATCGAGGATCGAACCTCTGCCAGGGAGACAGCATACAGGCCAGGCTGGCCAGGCACGCTTCCTCGGCACACGGCCGCTTCTGGTGCCTCTCTGCTGGGGGGGGGGGATATGTCCGTATCCGCGGCCTCGTGGGCTGGGCCGCGACTCCGCGGGTACGGGGCGTTCTTTCCCGGATGCCCCGCGCGGGACGTATCCGTGCGAACGCGCATCCGCGGGATCGCGCCCCAGCATTCAGACCGCGAGGGCGCGGATACGGTTGGTTCACGTCGTGTCGACCGGCGGCGACCCAGAATCGTCCGATGCTGAACGATTTGACGTTTCGGAAACGGCCGATCGTTCAAGCGTGATCGATCCCCGCGGTGTCAGAAACCAACGTCGAAGTCGGCACGCCGCGAACCTGCTATACTGATATGTTCGCCACTCGTGAGCCTCGAGACGCCAAGAGAGCTAGGTGCACGCAGTCGTCCCGCTGATCCCGCATTAGCTGACCCCATTCCGCGCTGCTTCCCCTATCCTGCAAAAGGACGGCCAGGATCGTCGGCGCGTTCAGACGGGGGAGGAGGAGGAGGAGGAGGAGGAGGAGGAGGAGGAGGAGGAGGAGGAGGAGGAGTAGGAGGAAGAGGAGGAGGGGGAGGAGGAGGGGGAGGAGAAGGAGGAGAACGACGGTGTCGTCGACGACGACGACGTGCGGGCGTGGCGAAGGGCGCGACCTTCCAAGAAGGCAGGGGGGCGCCTCAGCAGGGCCACTGCCCATAATTATGCAGTTCCCATCGTACTCAAGGGCTACAGTCGAGCATCTGATGCAGAACCCTCCTCCCGAAAAGCTGAGCCAACGTTTCTGAACCAGCTCGCCAGAAAGTTGCCCCAATTTCTTGAGCACATTGGCCCCTCCATCGTCAACGGCAAAAGTTCGCCCAGACTTGTGTTAAGAAACCTCCGGAAAGCTGGCCCAGATGTCTCAAATAGCAATTTTCTTGATCAGATATTCGGCTGTACATCCCAGAAGTAATTTCGAGCACCAAGGAAGGTATCGAAACAGTGTCTGCCCGACACGCCAGCGAAGTGTCGAACGAGTATGGCCTCCCAAAGCCCAACACGTGGAGACCCTCCAGTTTCGGTAGTCATCTTGGCGCTCGAAATCCGTTCTGGTGGTCAATGCTACAGTAGGTTGGAGCATTATAACTCTGCTCCCGTCTCGGAGGCCTCCGAAGGCAGGAGCGAGAGGCAGGGCGGCTTCTGAAAAGGCCGCCCCCCTCGCCCCGCCCCCTTCCCCGACCTGGCTACTCGACCTGCCATGCTATCAGCGGCATCGTAACGGGCACTCACTACCGGGTTTTTTTGGGGGAAATTTGCCGAGAGTTGCCATTTTAAACGCCTCTCTCTGGCACTGTAGCGTGGCCCACAGCGGGAAGGGGAGTCCCCGTCAAGAGGGCGCGCTGATACTAGGCATGGGCCCCCCGACCTCTGGGGTGGCGCTTCACCCCGGCCCTTCGTCGACTTCCCTAATCCTGAGATCTTGGCGCTGCAATTTTTTGGAGCCGGGTGTTTGCGTCAGGTTCTGGGCCGCGAGACCCTCACATATCGATCTGGAAGGACAGAGGACGCAGAACGTGATGGCGTCTAGGGCTCCGGCCGTGGGTTTTTAGGATGCCGTGATTTGTGAGGCAGCGTCGGATCTCCGGGGAGACGAGGGAGGAGGAGGCGGAGGAGGAGGAGGAGGAGGAGGAGGAGGAGGAAGAGGAGGAGGAGGAGGGAGGAGGAGGAGGAGGGAGGAGGGGCAGGAGGAGGAGCACCCAGATGCCAAGAGTGGCGGCCAGACTGGCCGCCCCGCTTCGGCGCCTGGGCTGCGCCCGCCGGCCGAGGAGGGCGGCTCGGAGGAGGGCGACCCGCGCCTGGGGCACCTGAGCCGGCTGCTGCGCAGGGACCCCGCGAGCCCCGGGCACCCGGTCGCCCCGCTGCCCGCCTCGCCACGGGGCGCGGAGGCCTCGCAAGCAGTGGCGAAGCGTCCCGGCGTGCCTATGGGCCCCCCGAAGATGGCTCTAAGAACCGTTCGTGGTTTGCACGAAGTGTTTCGGGTGTTGCTGGAGGTGCCCCTGGCCCAGGGTGCCCCCAGCCTTTCGCTCCGTTTTGGAGCACCTGGGGCCCTCTGGGCCTCGTGAGGGGTGCCCTGGAGGCCGTCTGGGCCACCCCGAGAATCCTGGGGGTACCTTGAGCCAGGGGTACTTCTGGCAACACCCGAATGTTCTTAGAACATTTCTGGCCAGGGCTGTCTTGTTTTTACACCTCGGGCTTGCGTATGCTCTACGAACGTTGTTTTTGTTCTCAGAACATCTTTGGGTTCTGAGAGCATGTCGTGGTGGGCCTGCAGGAGTGCTGGGACGGTCGGTCCCTGCTCAAGAGGCTGGCCCGTGGGGCCCGGAGCTGGCCGCCCCGCTGTCCGCCAGTGGTCACCTGACGGACTGGGCCCGATCCAGATCTCCGACGATATCCGATCCCAGAGATCCGGCGCTCCAAAAAGTTGGAGCGGCGGGATTTGGACCGTTTTCGGCCCTCGTGGGCCCTCGCGGGGCCTCGGGACCGTTAAAAAACGGCTCAGGACAACAAGCCGGCCCTAGGGAAGTGGTCCAGACCTCCAGGGCCCACGCATCGAACAAACTTGGAGCGGCCGGATGTCTGGGATTTTCGTGGGGACCGAGATGGGTACGGAAGCAAGGGGTATTGAGCCCAACAGCAGCTGTTGAGTTGCCCCTTGTGGACAGGATTCACTGTCGGCGTCGCGGTGGTTGCTGTTCATTTGAGACAGACAGCCGCCCGCCCAACAGCGGCCGCTGTCGGTTTGGGACCACACTTGATGTTGGGCATCGTACCATGTCTCCCATACCGATTTCGGGCGTCCAGAGATTTTGTTCAGCCAACGAGCGCTTTCTTCGGCGTCGGCGCCCATCTTCGGGCCCCTGGACTGCAGACGCTGCTCCAGGGCGGCAAGCTGGCCCCGGGGAGGGGGTCGGGAGCTGCTCTGGGGCCGCGGACGCAGAGAACAGATCCTCGTCGGATGTCTGGGGACGGGGGACCGACCCGCCGACCCACCCGCCGCCCCCGTGGGTCTCTCGACTCCCCCCGAGACCCGATGCTGCAAGACATGCAGCATCGCCAAACATCACGACCGGGGTCCAAGGCCCCATCTTGCTGCGCCATGTATCGAGCCGGATAGATCTGTGAGGGTCCCGGGGCCCGAAACCGGGCGAGCCTTCAGTCGGGCACGTCCCTCTTCAGGAGGAATATTCAAAAATAGTCAAAACATCGTGCGAGGATTATTTTTGAAGGAGGTTTGAATTTTGTTTGGATATCCGTAAGGGCTTCGCCCCCATGCCGCCGGCCCCCTCTCTTGGATAATGGGCTGTGCAAGAGCTGAATCATAAGGCCTCGGCGCCGCCGCGAAGCAGCATCGGCAAGAGAAGTTGAGATTCTGATGATATTGTTGAACTCAGTGTTGCATGTTGAACCTGCCCCCGTATGCTGTGCACTGAGGTTTCCCACAGAATTTCGGACATGTGGCAAATCCAATTGGTTTTTCTACCCTGACCCTGTTGATCTGCGTGAGGGGCGCCGCCGAATTTCAGAAATGTGGTAAATCACATTGGTTTTTCGACCCTGACCCCGCCGATCTGCGTGAGGGGCGCCGCCGAATTTCAGAAATGTTGCAAATACCATTGGTTTCCGCCGATCTGCGTGAGGGGGGCCACCGAATTTGAAGACATGTGACAAATCCTTTGTTTTTCGACCCTTACCCCGCCGATCTGCAGGAGGGGTGCCACCGAATTTCAAACATGTGTAGAATCCTTTGTGTTTTTGGACCTTGACCCCGCCGATCTGCATGAGAGGTGCCACCGGATTTCAGAAATGTTGCAAATCCTTATGGTTTTTCGACCCTGGCCCCACCGATCTTCGTGAAGGGTGCCGCCGAATTTCAGAAATGTGGCAAATCCCAATGGTTTTTCGACCCTGACCCCGCCGATCTGGGGTGTCGCCGAATTTTAGAAATGTGGCAAATCCCGTTGGCGTTTCGACCCTGACTCCGCCGATCTGCGTGAGGGGCGCCGCCGAATTTCAGAAATGTGGCAAATCCCATTGGTGATTCGACCCTGACTCCGCCGATCTGCGTGGGTGGTTCCGCCGAATTTCAAAGATGTGACAAATCCCATGTGTTTTTGGTCCCTGACTCCGCCGATCTGCGTGAGGGGTGTCAATTTCGCCCCCCCCAGAAATTTTGACACCCCTCACAGGAGACTCTAACCAGGCTGATTTTCGACTCCCCCCCTCGCGCGTTCTACAACAAGGAAGAGTTAGCAGCATAAATCATTGGCAATACTGTAACAGTGGAAACTGGAAACTGGAACGGGCGCAGGGAACAGCAAACCATCGTCCTACAGCCTGGTGGCCCCACAAGGGGGCCGGCGGATTTTTTGAGTACGTTTAATTTTTCGTCCAAAATCCGCCTGTAGGGGGACACGCCCGACCTAAGCGAAGCCGCCCAGTTTGACAAGATTGCAGCGCCCGGATCTGAGGGTCCCTTGTGGGGACCAATTGGTCTCCCAGGAGAGTCCGAGCCCACCGGGTCGCCCGGTGAGTCTGGCCTGGTCCGTTTGGTCTGTAGGTGTCCAACCCACCTCGCCAGGCGAGGAGGAGGAGGAGGTCTTCGGGCGCCGCAGAAGCGCTACCAGTACTCCAGCGGACTGTTTATTGATCCTGGCGGGTTTCCTTCAGTCGACGAAGAAAAAACGGCAGAAACATAAACGATCCATGGCCCAGGCGGATTTACTGGATCTGTGCTAGCCCCCCCTGGAGGCGCCTCCGGCGCCGCCCCTGGCGCGCGGATCCACGAAATCCGCGCGGGCCTCCTAAAGTTTATGTTTATGCAGTTGTTGATTGTCCCCATGTGCAGCCCAGCGGTTTTCCTTCAATCTCGGCATCGCCGGGTGCGGCTTTCTCAGGCCTTCAGTCGGTGTCCAGTAACTAGATGGGATCGTAGGATTTCGCCGAATCGCCGATGCGATGTGATGGGGGGGGCCCGACGTTCTCGGCGCCGACGGCCTCCGATTTGTTCGATGCGTGGACCTCCCGACTCCCGACCCCCTCCCCTGGGCTGGTGTTCTGTCCCAAAGGCTGTTTTTATTGTCCCGAGGCCCGACGCCCGCCTCCTCAGACGACGCACCGGACGCCTCGATTTTCTCGAGGCGCCAGGTGCCTGGGCCGGCGACCGCCCTGCGGTGGTGAACACCCTTCTGCGTTGACAACTGGCGGCGCGCACGTGGCGCGAAGGGGCGGGCATTCCCAGAAGGCGGGGGTGATGACGTATGCCTGCGTGCCGCGCGTATGCATTGACATTCCTTGATCTTTCGCTGGGCCATTTTGGCTCAAGTGCGATGCGAGCATAAAAGCTTGTCATGGTAGCAGGAGCTGAGACCGATCCACGGTTGGGCAGGCTCACGCGCGGGCAGAGGCGCAGCAAGTCTGCCCAGCTACGACGCCAGCTCCGCGGCGTCGAACGGCGCACAGGCGCGCCGGCCGGATCGGGCTCTGAGGGCACTGGAAGTGCGGGTAGCCCCGCCTCCACGCGCCTCGAGCCCGAGGCACAGCCAGAGCGCGTGGGCCGTGCGGGTAGCTCCGCCCCCACGCAGCTCAAACAGGAGTGTGCGGGTAGCACCGCCACTCAGGAGCCCAAGAAGGACGAGCTCGAGTCCGAGACCGAACCCAAGACTAAGGTTAGGAAGATCTTTATCGATTGGAACGGTTTGTAGGCAACATGGAGCAGCTACAGCAGCAACATCAGCAGCTAACATCGCAGCTACAACAGCAAGCAGCGACGATACAGCAGATGCAGCAGCAGATGGTCGAGATGCAGGCCAAGCTGAAGTCCGCCACCGCTGCATCTTCCAGGGACCCCCAGCCGACCTTCGCGGTGGACACCCGCGTGATCGGCAAGCCCAGGGAGTTCGACGGAGAGAAGGATTGGAAAGATTGGTCTATCGTGATGCGGTCCTATGCCGCCGCCTGCCACGAGCAGCTTGGGACGTTGACCGTTGATGAGAACGGCGGAGCTCTCGGAGGACCGCGTGGACAACGTGCACCTTTCTCCAACAGACCGCCAGTGCAGCACCTAGCTGTTCTACATGCTGGTGATGGTGTGCCGTGGCTCTGCCCTCACGCGGGTGGTCAACCAAGGCACCACGGAGGGCCTCTTGGCGTGGAGGGCTCTCTGCCACCACCACGAGCCGTCAAGTGCGGCTCGCCATGCCAGTCTACTCTTGGACCTCCTATCTGTCAATTTCGAGGGCGACACCACTGCTAGGTTGGAGCAGTTTGAGCGCGACGTCCACGGGTACGAATTGTCATCTAGCCTCATGCTTGACGAGACCATCAAGATCAGGATCGTTCTCCGGCAGCTGCCGGAAGCAGCACTTGGTGTTGAACATGGACAGGTTCGACACTTGGGCGAAGATCCGCACTGAGATCGAGTCGGTGCGGCGGGCTCAACAGGCTGCGAGCCATGGCGCTCGCCCGACGGACGTCGACACCCTGGCGCTTCTGAGGCAGGTCCCGGAGGACGAGCTCACGAGGCAGTTGGCCGCCATGGGCTTCCAGGTCAACGGCAAGGGCAAGGCAGGCGGAGGCAAGGGGAGAGACGAAGCCCCAGCGACCAACTCTCCATCTGCGACAAGCTGGGCCACTGGAAGAAGGATTTCTGGCACAACCCGGCCAACAAGGGGGGTGGGTCCAGCAAGGGAGCGCCACCCAACGGCGGCAAAGGCAAGGACCCGAAAGGCAAGCCTAAGCCGAACAACGCCAAGAAGAAGTGTTGGAACTGCGGCGAGCTGGGCCACTCTCGGGAGGAGTGCAGGGAGCCGAAAAAAAGTGAGCTCGATCGAAGAG